ACTTTTATGAAACAGAAAACTAGCATAAAGTCCTTGGGGGGTAAAAAACCCAAAACAAAAACTCCTTGAAAAAGAAGGTTGGCTTTGTTCTAAGCAGCATTATGGTCAAATTCAAACACTTTTTAACTTCATATCCAAATATTTAATAAACATATTTGCTGCGTTTCCATTAGGGGAATTAGTGGGCAGGTCCCATCAGTATGATTATTATTATTAATCGATACATAATGATGTCCGAATGACAGTACATTTCCTTCTATTTGAATTATTGAGTTTTACATCACTTTGGAGGATTGATCAGCGTCTGGCTTACACTAAATGCTCACCTTACAAACATGAAAAACACAAACCGATGGGGAAAAGAAAACTATTTATAAAGCGCCCTACTTGGCTAAGAGAAATTAAATACTAAAATAAAACGATATAAACAAACAAAACAACTGATAGGTGTAGTTATCCTAAAGAAAGAGGAGTCTGTCTGCAGAAAACGCAACAGGGCCCAACGGTTGTTGAGGAAACAAAACAACATTGAAGCAAAAGCCTCCATTTTTCCATAGAGAAATTGAATGAGATAAAGTTTGCCATATTTAGTGGGGGGGCAGCTTCAGGGAAAAACAGGAATTACCTCTTTGACAGGAGGGAATTTCTTCTTACACTCCATGGAGAGAGAGCGCAAGTCCGTCTGCATGTTCTCCAGCAATTTCTTCACCGCTTCGGGACTACTGGTCGACATCTTTGACGGCGTCTTTGACACAAAACCTAAAGAGAACACTAGAGGTTTACGAGCGCAGTCGCCCCCCACCCCTTCACCGCGAAGATATGAGCCGTAGCTGCTTTATTAGTAGCTCCCTTTAGGTAAGAAACTAAAAACGCCGCGGTCCATTGACACCGAACCCGACTCCTCCGCTTCGGGCGCCCCGTGAGCAGGACAGCACCGATGACACCGGCATAGGGCCCCCCTCTGAAGAACCCGCTAACAGCAGCTACGACCAGGAGCCGCCTTCACTGCGCCTGTTTCCTTTCTCACACGTAAAATGCAAGTCGAATATATATTGACTAAATGTATCTATCTGCCATCGGCGGCCGTGCCAGCTCTGCTTTCCTTCCCACAATGCTTTGGTGAACAGTGACACGTCACTCAGACTTCCGTAAACAGTAATGATCCTAGAAATATTCCTACAGCGACGCCTGCTGGCCAAAAAAAATAAAATAAAAAATAGATGCGTGAGAAACCTCGGTCCAAAACCAAGAATTGAACAAATGCCTCAGAAGGGGATTAGGGCCACTGAAAACATTAAAAAAAGTTAACTGATTTTTCAATTTTATTCAGTAAAATATGAGAAAAAAGTAAGAATTCTGACTTTAATCTCAAAATTCAGACTTTTTTTTTTTTTTTTTACAGAAATCTTACTTTTTTCTCATTATTCTAATTTGTTTTCTCACTATTCTGACTTTAATCTAATAATTCTGACTGAATTCTGACAGCTAACAAACATGTTAGCATCAAGTCGTGTCTGTTTTAGAGACTAAATTGGCTCTTTTGTTTAAATCACCTTCTGCTCTTCCTCCTCAGACATGTAAAAAGTCACCTAATTCCGTCATTTTCCACCAATGTGGAATGACAGTGCAGCTGAGTGCTCCACATCTCTTCCTTTCTGATGCCCATCTACATTAACGTCCAAAGTTCTGAGATTAAAGTCAGAATTCTGACTTTTTTCCTATATTAAACTGAAATAATATTTAAAAATCACTTTTTTTATTTTGTTTAGTGGCCCTAATCCTCTTTCGTATATATATATAAACACAAAAAGAAAAAAGATAAAGAATTTTTAACCTGGTGTCAATATATATAATTTGCATATTTTAAAATAATGTATTTAATTTCTAACATTTTTAATTTAATAAATGAATGTGGATGTTTATCTATACACATTTAAAAATCTGGTTATCTAAATTATATTAAAAACAAATACATGCATCCATTGATAATTTATTATTTATTAATATAAATAATTAGAGAAAGTTTACTACAAAATTAAAGTGTTAAACTAAAAATTGTGTTAAAGTAACTAAATATAATTAAGTAAATTCCAAAAGTGGTTGAATTGTTTTGTTTAGTGTA